GGACCTGCCGCTTTGCTGATTGCCTGGACATTGAGACGGGGCGGGGTCAGGACCTGCCGCTTTGCTGATTGCCTGGACATTGAGACGGGGTGGGGTCAGGACCTGCCGCTTTGCCGATTGTCTGGACATTGATACGGGGCGGGGTCAGGACCTGCCACTTTGTTGATTGCCTGGACATTGAGACGGGGCGGGGTCAGGACCTGCCGCTTTGCTGATTGTCTGGACATTTAGACGGGGCGGGGTCATAACCTGTCGCTTTGCTGATTGTCTGGAGATTGAGACGGATGGGGTCAGGACCTGCCGCTTTGTTGTTTGCCTAAGACGTTGAAATGGGGCTGGAGATGAGGTCCTTCAGACTGATCCGGTCGCTTTGTTGTTTGCCTAAGACATTGAAATGGGGCTGGAGATGAGGTGCTTCTGACGGATCCGGCCGCTTTGCTAAGTCGGACAGTTTTGCTTGTTGAAAAAGGTCTGACTCTTGTCCTTGTAAGAATAGTTCAGGCTAGTGTGTTGGTGATTGCATGGGGTTTGACTGAGAACAACTTGGGAAGTTAATGAACTAAGTAAGAATACAGGAGTAATGTTTTTGTGATCAGGAGAAACGAAAGATGAAACCTTTGGATAAACAAATCCTTGTTTTGAATTGGTTGGATGTGTTATAAACTTGACATACTTGTTGGCAATGCCTTGTCCTTTGCTCAATGCTCTGTTTGTCTTCTGCTTTATAGGGTTGTCTGTTAGTGCTCGCCTTATGCTTGAGCAATAGGCAGGTAGATGTTCACTTTTGTATTCGCATTTGTCTTTTTCATGTATGTTTGTTTTGATAGGACTTTGGCTAGCCTTTGAATTAGCAGAAATTCTGGGAGCCTCTTTTCCTAGGGGAAATGCTGCCGAAATTTCTGTTGAATCCTCAAAGTTAGCCAAGGTTTTGAGATGTCAGCTAGGATATGGTATAGTTTAGTCTTTGGGGACAGTAGGAATTCTGGAGGCCTTCCTTTCTAAAGGAAGTGTTGCTGAAATCTCTACTGAAACCAAAGCGTTAGTTTAATTTCAGATGATTTTCATAGCCGTGACTTTTTCTTTTTAGATTTGGTTTAGTAAATATTCTTCGAGCACACTTCCCTAAAGGAAGTGCTGCCGGAATTTTCGGGA